GTTTAAGAGGGAGAGGATGTAACGACCCGATCGGTCATTTCATGAGTTGCCGCTTCGTTTCCCCCATTTCTGCTTCTTATTGCTTTGTTTATCGGTTCTATGTGCGATCAGTTTGGTTGGCTCGGGTTCGGAAAGGTTTTGGTAAGGTTTGAGACACTTAGTCTCTTTTGATAAAGCTTAAGTTAGAAAGGTCAACTGGATGATGACTTATGTGTTAGAGGGTTCGGATGTGAGTTCCAATGGTTCGGATAGCTTCGGGAGGTGATTTGAGACTTAGGAGCGTGATCAGAATGCGTTTTGGAGGTTCGGAGTGGATTTAGGCTTGAATTGGCGAAAATGGTATTTTGGCGTTTTCCGGTTGATAGGTGAGATTTTGATATAGGAGTCGGAATGGAATTCCAGGAGTTGCAGTATGTCCATTGTGTCATTTGGGATGTGTGTGCAAAATTTCAGGTCATTCGAACGTGGTTTGGTAGACTTTTTGATCAAAAGCGTAATTTAAAAGATTTTTGGAACCTTAGGCTTGAATTCGATGTGTTTTGGTTGATTCGATGTTGTTTGAGATGTTTTGAAGATTGGTACAAGTTAGAATAGTGGTATATGATGTGTTTGTGCTTTTGGTTGAGGTTCCGAGGGCCTCGGGGTGATTTCGGATGGTTGGCGGAAGAATTTGGTTTGGTTTTGGAAGCTGAAGATGTACCATTGCTGTCATAACCGCACCTGCATCTAGGGGACCGCAGATGTGGTCTCGCAGAAGCGAGTTTGGAGTCGCAGAAGCGGAAGGAGCCTAGGGAGGCAGGAACCGCAGAAGCGGTTGAGGAACCACACCTGCGATGGCGCAGGTGCGGAGTGTGCATCGCAGATGCAGAATCGAGGATTTAAGTGAGGACCGCAGATGCGGCATTTTGGACCGCAAAAGCGGTATCTGGACCGCAGGTGCGAAAAGCCTGGACCAGAAGGTATAAAAGCATTCCTTCACGATTTTTGAGTTGTTCTTCACCATTTTAAGTTAGTTTTGGAGTTTTTTGGGAGATTTTGAAAAGGGAATTAATGGATATCGTCTGGAGGTAAGATCTTTGAATCTAATAATCAATCTTATGGCATTATTTCACTGATTTGGCCTAAGATTAATGGAAATTAAGAGTTACAAATTTGGAAACTAGGGCTTGGTATTGGAGACCTTGACTTGAGGATTTGAGGGGTTATTTGTGGTCGAGATGTGGGCCCGGGGGTCGGGTTTTGGTTAATTTCGGGATTTATGTTGTAAATTGATTATTTTCGCATGGGCTTCGTTCCTTTAGCATATTTTGACGTCTTAATTCTGAATTTGGATAGATTCGACGTGAGTTGAGGCCGATTCGAGGGGCAAAGGCGTCGCGGGTAGAGTTTGGACCGGATTGAGGTGAGTAATGATTTTAAATGTTGTCCTGAGGGTATGAAACCCTGGATTACATATCGTTGTGCTATATTAAGGTGACGCACATGCTAGATAACGAGCGTGGGGTCATGCACCATTGGGGATTGTGACTTAGTCCATCTCGAATGACTGTTTTACCGCGTATTTGATTGAAAACTGTTTTCTATCATCATGTTTTGGGTGAAATGCCATATTTGGGCCTCGTGCCAACTATTTGGACCCTTAGAGGATTTTTACTAATATTTCCTCACTGTTTGGACTTTATACTTGTACTCAGTCATGCTATACTCTATTGTTTTCATAACTCAGCCATGTTTACTCTATTTTTAATACATTAAATGATATTTTAAATGATAATTTGGGTTGAGCATCATGTTTTACTGTTGCTCGAGTGGCTTATGAGATTCTGACTGAGTAAGGCTGAGGGTCTGTGTTGTGAGGATACACTAATTTATGATTATGAGGCTGAGGGCCTGAGTTTTACACCACAAGGTGGCTTGATATGAGGCCGAGAACCTATTGATTATGCCACGAGATAGCTTGATATTGTACTTGAGTCGTAAGGGGCCCCTCCCGGAATCTGCACACCCCTAGTGAGCACGGGTACCCATTGTGATATGAGATATAGCCCGATGGGCTGGTGTTGTTCCATGTGTTGCCCGAGGGGCTGATTCTTTTGGTATTATGCCCGAGGGGCGGTTCTTTATGTGTTTATCTTTTCTAGCTACATGTCATTTACTTGTTTAACTGTTAAAAAGGTATTCTTAAAAAGCTTAAACTGAACTAAGGTGACTTTATATGTTTTCACAGTATCATTGCTTTTACTGGCTTTATACTGCTTCTTTATAGCATGTTGAAGTGCCTTTACGTGATTTCTTATCGCTCAGTCTTCACTTATTATTATTACTCACTGATTTGGATTACTCACTTTACTTCCTGCACCCCGTGTGCAGATTTAAGCACTTCAGGTCCTACTTGAGAGGGTTGAGAGCTTCCAGTAGACTTCGGAGTTCACTAAGTAGTTGCTTGGCGTTCGCAGCCCAGTGTCTCTCCTTCTTATATTTCCCTTGTCCTAGTTATGCAATAGTTTGTGTAGGCTCTTTCAGACTTGGAGTTTTATGATAGATGATCATGACTGGTGACACCCGATGTCGGGCTATGTCTATTCCGCAAATTGTATTATTCACCTTTATTTTGGGATTTTTATTATGTTAAAGACTTAATTTGTATTATTTTAATTGCTTAAAATGAATTAGGTGTGTGTGTCGGCTGGCCTTGTCTTCACGAGAGGCACCATCACGACCGGGTCCGGGTTTAGGGTCGTGACATTAAGACTATCCCTTCTTTCTTTTGGCATGATCTATACGACACAAACGAAATGAGAAAATGCATAACTTCCATAAATGACTCTATTCATAGAAGAATTAGAGGTGCCTATGTTCTTGAATTTCCATGTGTCTTATTATTTTATCATCTGTTCATGGGTCTCAAAAAAATATGTAAGTTGAAAAAAGTTTACTTCATGATATTACTCAAAGGCATAATGGTCTTATGACATTCCGAAAGATTGTATTGCCATACTTTTCATGCATTGCATTCATTTATACATGTACATTGACACATAACTAGATGGCGTTATATACGCGTATATATATATATATATATATATATTATATGTATATGGGGTATGGGAAAAGGTTACAGCGTTATATACACACCACCTGATCAGCTGGTATACATTGATGATTTTGCCCACAGTGGTGGAGATGATATGATGGGATACCCTTAGAGGCTGATGATGTTATAAAACATGTACCTATGCACGACATGACATTTATATGCATATGCATGACATTATAAGTATTTCATGATTTACAAATTTTTCCAGACTTACAGGTTGAGTCATTTACTCTATATTTCATCCATTTCTGTTATGTACTTATTTATGTGTCTTACATACTCGGTACATTATTCGTACTGACGTCCCTTTTGCCTGGGGACACTGCGTTTCATGCCCGCAGGTCCCGATAGACAAGTCGAGAGCCCTCCAAGTCGGCTATCAGCTCAGCGGAAGATGTTGGTGCGCTCTATTTGCTTCGAAGTTGCTTGTTTGGTTAGTATGATTTAGATGTGTACTGTTGTGTATGGCGGGACTCTGTCCCGACCTTTATAAAAATTATGTATTCTTAGAGGCTTGTAGACAGATGTCATATACGTAAAAGATTGTATGGCCTTGTCGGCCTATGTTCAGTGTATGAGTGGCTATTTTGCTCTTCTGGGCCCGCATGTCTTGTGTATTAGTTGGTATCACATGTTGTGTTCTACTTATCTCACAGCAGCCTTCCGACTCAGTTATCTATGATAGTATGACATGAAAAGATACGTTATGGAGGTACCGGGTGCCCGTCGTGGCCCATCGGTATGGATCATGACAGAATCGTTCTATCCACCCATGATCGTTGTCATCATCCATGCTAGACAATAGAGCATGGTGGCCATGCTTGCAGAGGTTTATCATTCCCCCGTGGAAGATCTTGGGAGAATAGAGATTCATCATATGAGCTAAGATTAGCTCTTCTCTAGTCTACTGGCACAAACACCGAAGGCAAGCAACTGTCCTCCACACAGAAGGATTTATTTGTGCAAAACACACTTGGCAGCAGAGGCAAAACTCCGCAATCATGGAGTCAAGCTCTCCGCTCACTTTGGCATTTATGCTCACTGTTACATCTTCATCAATGACCCTCATAATTGACATTAAAAAAGGGCATGATCCTAGGACTTCCTTCCCTAGACATAACTATAATAGTGAGTTCAGTTATCATTGTAAAGCACACGAATTCTATACAAACTTACACTACATTCTATTACAAAGCTTAATACAATCCTATTTTCTTGCTTTTTGATTTCATTGTTTTTGTGCCCGGAAACCTTGTTCCCAGAACTGTTGCTTCTATTGTTTCGTCTACATCTTAAGGCTAAGTATTGCATAATTCTTCGATTATTTTATTATTTTAGGATCAAATTCATTCATTTGTCAAGAAACCACGTATAAACTGTACCGTTTTACGGGTAAACAATAGTAGTCCCCAAAGACATCATACTAGTTAGCGCACTGGTGAATAGATTACTACAGTACCTTTTTTTCGTTTGGAATGTCTGGATAACTTATGAGCAGTCTCATGATATAATTTCAGTTAACACCAGATAATATTTTTCTTAATTATACTCCTTTGTAATGAACTTAGGCACCTGCTCGAGTAGAATCACCAGAACATTTTGCTCGTGTTATTGGCTAGCAGCCCTGAACCTATTTCATCCTTCATTCATTTACTCGTCAAATATTGCATTTTACATAGTAGTATTGTTCTATTACATAGTAATAAATGGGCAATCAGTCTCGAATTTTGAGATTGAATTTTCAAATCTTAGACTACTCCATTATTTAAGAGAAATAAGTATACAAATCGATAAGTATAGATGCTTAAGAAAGGTAAAGCTTAAAATACAATAAAAAAAGACAATGAAGCATTACACCAAACGTAACATGAAACTTTTTTATTTGCACAAGAACAACGTCAATTTTACATATCAAAGAAACAAATAGAATGAATGAGATTACACTTCAGTTCATCAAACATACAAATATACTTTATTAATACAAAACCAATCATAGAAACAGTGTGGAATTTAAGAACTAGTTGACACTGCCACAAACTTTTCTTATGATCCCATTTTGACCACTTAGGGGACTAATATCTCCCATTTTGATCATAGCAGCAGCAAAGTCTGACGAGAAAGCTCGAGCACTGTTACTATATTCAGAAACAATATTGTCTGTTGATCCTCCATTGAAAAGAACTTGATCTGATTGAAGAAGACCTTTCTTTTGGATGAGATTTTTGAAGTAATTGTTATCGAATTGATTTGGTGTAACCAAATCAAGTGGTGCTAGATTTCCATTCTCTCCTTCTTGAGGACATTGACGTCTTCTAGTGCTTGCAAATCCAGCATCAATGTCTGTTCCATTGCTATAAATCCGATCACGAAAAAGGAAACATTGTGCTTGGCCTATTGTGTGAGCCCCTGGAAATCAAAGCAAATATATAAGGTTCTATTTTTGTTCGGATTCTAAATTAAAATAAAAGGGCAGCCCGATGCACTAAGCTTCTGCTATGCGTGGGTCCGGGGAAGAGTTGGACCACAAGAGTCTATCGGACACAGTTTTACACTGCATTTCTGCAAGAGACTGTTTTTCACGGCTAGAACCCGTGACTTCCTGGTCACATGATGCATGACAACTTTACCAGTTCCTCCAAGATTTCCCTGAGGATTCTAAATGATAATGATAAATGTTAATATCCTGAATAATTACCTGACAAAGCGACCATATCTCTTGTGCTAAGTCCTTTGCTTGCAAAGCTAGAAATAAGCCTATTAAGAGGATCAAAAGGACCGGGGAGATCAGTTTCAGCAAGTGTCTTACTTGCAGTTGTTGAATCTCTTCTTCCGAGTTTCACTGTCCATGATGGACCCCCTACCTGATATTAGTTTAAAGAATTAAGTTAAATAATCGTTCATCCAACCGCTTAAACTAAATTAAAATTTTTGAGGGAAGTATAAGATATGTATAATTCATGTATAATAATCTGTATAACCATATATAATCCATGTGTATATATAATCTATGTATACCGGTTAGAAAATAGGAAAGTAACAGTAAATCCAGCCGGTTATTGTTTCAAGAATAATCTTGCATTAGGATTACCAATTAATTGGTTATAGTATAAATCTATATATATAGTATTAATTTAACTTACAGAAAGTTGATTAAAACTATCTTGCTTCATTCATTGTGGTCTAGAATATATATATATATATATATATATATATATATATAAAATCAAACTTTTCTATAATAGTCTCGTTTATTTCGATGTTTTTTTAGTGTTCTAGTGAAGTGTTGTTATAGAGGACATATATTAAACATAACATGCATAATAATCAGTTCCAAGAAAAACTTGGATTTTATAGTGAATTGATGTTATATAGGGATCAATGCTGTAATTGAGAGATTTGACTATATGTATATATATACACACACGAACACACACTCCTTCTAAGAAAAAAATTATATGAACTTACAGCAGCTGATGCATCGCGAGCTGCAACAGTTAGGATGTCAGCACATGAAACCACCCCGGGACAAATCTTTTCCACCTCTCTCTTTGCATCTTCTATGATTCCAAAACCTCTTGCTGACCCAAGATTTGGCAACGCAGTCTTCTCACTTTCGATTGAAGGAGTCTCATCAAGTAAGATCGAAGCATCACAGCCCTAAATTTACGACCAATATATATAACACCATTTCAACCATTAATTAATTGACTTTAAAATACATGAAAGTTAAAAATACATTACCAATAATCTTTCAACTAACCTGAACAAAGCAGTCATGAAAGTGAAGGCGAATGAGCGAAGCAGCCATGCGACGTTCACTTGAAATAGCTTGCCTGACGCTGGTACGAATCGTGTTGAGTGCATTAGGGCAAGTATTATCATAGAACGTCGCGGAAAGTTGTGCATGGCATTGCATGCATGAAAGCAGAAGAAGAGAAAATATAGCAGCCTTAGCTGCGAAAGATTGAGTTGGAGTATTCATTTAGTGGATGTAAACTATCAAGAAATTCAGAATGATTTTGGCTTAGCTGAATTGGCTAAAGTAGAAATAAAGATGATGGAAAAGGAAATGGCTAAGGGACTTAATTTATAGGAAATGGCTAAGGGACTTAAACACGTAGATAGTATGAGTGGAAAAGCTATTTTTGGTCATTAATAGCTGCTATGCCGCGTTACTGCTATTTTTCTTACTAATATATTTGAAATAGTAAATATCGATAGATATTCTTGACTTGTTCTTTAATATTGGCTCTGGCTGGCTGTGTGTTTGAAAAGCTTTAGAAATATAGACAGATTTAGAATTTAAAGTTTATAATATATAGGTAATAATAATTAAGTTCACAATTAAATATTTCTATAGATTTAATGGATTTCTCAATATACATATACAAGATTTGACAAAAAAATATTGAATTCACGTGAACCTCTAACGTATATGGTAAATCTGCCCCAATTTTGAAATCTAGAAGTCTAATTGTAGTATTGTAAGTTATGTGTAAATACTTCTGCAAAAGAAAATGGACTACAACTACTTATGGGCAACGTATATATAACGCAGACTTTCGACTAAAAGTTTTTGGAAAATTCTATTAAGGAGGAGGTAACATGTAATATTGATCTATACTTAAGTTTAGGTGGGCAGAATTGTGCGATACTTACACCAACAAAAGATAGCAGATACCCAATAAAATAATCAAAGTATATACAAGTTTGCCTGACCCGTAATTGAAGAAATAGAACATGTAATGTTGATATATCTTGCAAGCGCGCAGTAATTATTCCAACATCTTAAAATAGTCACTTGATGTTGGCCAAATCTTGTTCAGTTGCATTTAAGTTTTTCTTTTTAGTCTGTCCTCAAAAAAAGATACCTAAGTTGGTTTAAAAAGCGCTTGGACATTCTATATATAATGTAGACTCCACATATATACACCTCATTAATAAGATGATGTATAGTCACATAAATTTATATGCCTTGTTTTACATCAAAAATATTTTTTCTTAAATTTTGTGCTTAGTCAAACACCATTGACATCCCATAAAATGGGACGAAAGAAGTAATACTTTTTTGTCATATGCAAAAGATTCCGTTTTTTAGTATGATCGTTGTGATATCTACATACTTTGATAAAAGAACTTTTTTTGATATTTGTATTAACAAATTAACTCTTACAAAAATTCAAATTAAACGGAGTTTATTTACTTTTAGGTTTATAAATTAAAATTTTAAGGAATAAACGAATTGATATTCAGATCAAAAAAGAAAATTGACCACTGCGGCTTACGTACAATTAAGTCATTTTTATTTTAGGAGTACCTTTCATTACAATGATTTGATATCTAGTTATAATTATTAATCGAGTTTTAGGATGTAATAAAAAGTCAAAGGATAAAATTATGAAAATCAAAGGTCAACTGCCAATGGCATTAAAATATTACTTTATGAAAAGTATTCAATTGCCAGCTAGCAAAGTACGAGTTTTTTCTGTATGTGATAGTCATCTTTGTCTTAATAGTAATCTTTTCTTCAAGTTCATGTACGTCTTTTCGGTACTCATATTGAAATTTTGAATAAATTTTAATTCACATCGTATAAGTTCATTAAAGGGGCAATCACTTTCTTCAAAGTTTTTTTTTTCATACTAAGATCTAGGACTCGAACTCAAGACCATTACTTAACATACACAGCTTCAGGATTTGAAGTTTATAAGTTCTTACAGCTAGTAGCGAAGCCACATGATTATAAGGATGGTCAGTTGACCATCCTTCATCGAAAAATTACACTGTTTATATAGATAAAATATTATGCTTTATAGCTAGATATATAACTGTCACGACCCGAATTTCCCACCCTCGGGAGTAATGATGGCGCCTACTCGTAGAAGTTAGGCAAGCCGCGATATAAAGAATCACAAACTCTTTCATTTTTAGCCCTTTTAGCATTTGTATAGTAATAACGTGAAAACAACGGAAATTTCAATAATGCGGAAGAAATATAGTGAAATATCTGAAATATGAATCTAATACAACCATTTAAGCCTTAATCACCTAGAACTGGTGTCACAGTACCACAGACGATCTAAGAGTGCTAGATACAAAGTCTGAAAATAAAGATACATTGTTTCCGAATCAAAGAAATGAAACAGGAAATAAAGGATAGAGGGGACGCCAGGGCCTGCGGACGCCTGCAGGACTACCTCGGGTCGTTGTTGGACTGAAGGCAGCAACCTCACTGCGGTCTGAAGTCTACAACACTGGGATCTGCACAAAAGAGTGCAGAGCGTAGTATCAGCACAACCAACCCCATGTGTTGGTAAATGTTTGGTCTAACCTTAGCTTGATAGAATAGGAGTCGTGTCTTATTTGCTACGTGTTAATAGTGGAGTAAGGCATATAGGCATAGTGACGAGTATCTATACGTCAGTGTCAAGCATGCCCGTGAGTCTTATATTGTAAATGTTATGACTCCGTTGTAGTTTATTGTGCTTTACATGTTATTATCATTATTGTTCCCTTGCCGGGATGTTATTATCATTATTGTTCCCTTGCCGGGATGTTATTATCATTATTGTTCCCTAGCCGGGATCTTATCTTGATATTATTGTTCTCTTGCCGGGATTCTTTTGTTTATTGTTGTTGATTTGTAAATGGGATCGGGTGGCACGCCGCCACGGGAATATGTGAAATAGGAGCGGATTGCACGCCTGCAACAAGATATGTGAAATAGAATCGGGTTGCACGCCTGCAACGAGATATGTGAAATAGAATCGGGTTGCACGCCTGCAACGAGATATATGAAATGGGATCGGGTTGCACGCCTGCAACGAGATATATGAAATGGGATCGGGTTGCACGCCTGCAACGAGATATATGGAATGGGATCGGGTTGCACTTATCACGACCCAGATTTTCCACCCTCGGGAGTCGTGATGGTGCCTACTCGTAGAAGCTAGGCAAGCCGCAATATAAAGAATCACAAACTCTTTCATTTTTAGCTCTTTTAGCATTTGTATAGTAATAACGTGAAAACAGCGGAAATTTCAATAATGCGGAAGAAATACAGTGAAATATCTGAAATATGAATCTAATACAACCGTTTAAGCCTTAATCACCCAGAATTGGTATCACAGTATCACAGACGATCTAAGAGTGCTAGATACAAAGTCTGAAAATAAAGATACACGGTTTCCGAATCAAAGAAATGAAACAGGAAATAAAGGATAGAGGGGGCGCCAGGGCCTGCGGACGCCTGCAAGACTACCCCGGGTCGCCTGTTGGACTGAAGGCAGCAGCCTCACTGCGGTCCGAAGTCTACAACACTAGGATCTGCACAAAAGAGTGCAGAGTGTAGTATCAGCACAACCGACCCCGTGTGCTGGTAAGTGTCTAGCCTAACCTCGGTGAAGTAGTGGCGAGGCTAGGACCAGACTACCAAATAAACCTGTGCAGTTAAATCATATACGGCGAAAATATAAAAGCAGATAATTACAATTAAAATTGGGCAGAAGAAACATACTTCGGGGAATAACAGATAACAACAGAATATCAAGAGAATATAAAGAAACCAAAATCCAACTACTAACAAGGATAAGGAAAACAAATGTAGAATTCACTTTTATTTCACATCTTGTTGTAGGCGTGCAACCCGATATCATTCCATATATCTCGTTGCAGGCGTGCAACCCGATATCATTCCATATATCTCGTTGCAGGCGTGCAACCCGATCCCATTTCATATATCTCGTTACAGGCGTGCAACCCGATCCCATTTTACATATCTCATTGTAGGCGTGCAACCCGATCCCATTTCACATATCTCGTTGCAGGCGTGCAACCCAATCCCATTTCACATATCTCGTTGCAGGCATGCAACCCGATCCCATTTCACATATCTCGTTGCAGGCGTGCAACCCGCTCCCATTTCACATATCTTGTTGCAGGCGTGCAACCGCTCCATTTACAAATCAACAACAATCACAAAAGAATCCCGCCAAGGGAACAATAATATCAAGATAAGATCCCAGCAAGGGAACAATAATATCAAGATAAGATCCCAGCAAGGGAACAATAATGATAATAACATCCCGGCAAAGGAACAATAATGATAATATTATCCCGGCAAGGGAACAATAATGATAATAACATCGCGACAAGGGAACAATAATGATAATAACGTGTAAAGCGCAATAAACCACAATGGAGTCATAACAATTACAATACAAGACTCATGGGCATGCTTGACACCGACGTATAGATACTCGTCACTATGCCTATACGCCGTACTCCACAATTAACACATAGCAAATAAGACACGACTCATATTCCCTCAAGTTAAGGTTAGACCAAACACTTACCTCGAACTTCTACGACCAAGTCAAGCCTCAAACACCGCTTTTACTTTAGAATTCGTCTCCAAATGACCCGTATCTAGTCCAAATTGATTTAACAACATCAATAAACGCTAAACAATCCAATTCCAATGCTCAATTATAGAATTCTCATCATTCTTCCCAAAAAGTCAACCCCGGTCTCGCTTGGTCAAAACACGAGGTTCGGACCAAAATCCGATCACTCATTCATCCACGAGCCCGAATATATAATTAGTTCCAAAATTCGCGATAGGCTTGTCGCGTTCGCGATGAGTTAGGCCTCAGTGGCCTTCGCGTTCGTGACATTGGGCTCGCGTTCGTGGAGCTTTGACCCCTCGAGCCTTCGTGTTTGCGGGCCAATGGCCGCGTTCGCGTAGAACAAGTGAGAATCCCCTCCCCCAGACCAATTGCCTTACGCGTTCGCGAGTACCTGGATGCGTTCAGGAAGGGTACTCCCCGCTCTGCCTCACGTTCGCGTCTTAGGCTTCGCATTCGCGAAAAAGAAATCTGGCACCTGGGAGATTTGCCTTACGCGTTCACGAGTGGGACCACACGAACGCGAAGAACAAAATACCTGGGCACTGAACAGCCAAAAACCTGCAACTTTTCATGAGTTCAAAACTTTCCGAAATCCATCCGAAACTCATCCGAGCCCT